CCCTGAAGGCGCAGGTTCACAGTTTGGGAGTGATCCTGGATTCATCGCTGAGCCTGGAACCCCAGGTTTCGGCGGTGGCCAGGGGAGCTTTTGCACAGTTAAAGCTTGTGTGCCAGATTTGGCCACAGTGGTTCACATTCTGGTTACATCCCGAATAGACTACTGTAACACACTCTGCATGAGGTTGCCTCTGAAGACTGCCTGGAAGCTGCAATTAGTCCAACATTCGGCAGCCAGATTGCTCATGGGAGCTGGATACAGGGAGCGCACAACTCCCTTGTTGCACCAGCTCCACTGGCTGCCAATTGGCTTCCAAGCACAATTCAAAGTGCTGGTTTTAACCTACAAAACCCTTTATGTTTCCGGCCCAATTTACCTGTCCAAATGCATTCTCCCCTATAAACTATGAAGACTGTTAAAATCTTCCAGAGAGGCCCTGCTCTCAGTCCTGCCACTTTTGCAATTGTGCTTGGCGGGAACGAGAGACAGGGCCTTCTCTGTGGTGGCCCCCGAGCTATAGAACTCTCTCTCAAATGAAGTTAGGTCTGCTCCCTCCCTCCTGACCTTCAGGAAGCAATTGAAGTCCTGGTTTTGGAATCAGGCATTTGCAGAGTGATGGCTGAGACCAGTAAAGACTAAAGTTATTGGACCACAATGTGTGGACTGAGTTGGACAATGGCTTTATATATATTTTATCTTATATGTATTTTTAACTTACTGTTTTATATATGTTGTTTTAAAATACTATTTATTGTTTAGCATTGAATTCTTGTTGTTAGCCGTTCTGAGTCCCTCCAATAGAGGTAGAGAAGAAAAAGAGATGTAAAATTCCTAAATAAATAAATAAATAAAGTTAAAACATTTTAAATCAAATATTAGTAGTTGCTGTCACATGTCCTAAGACATACATTAAACTAATAAAACATTAATACTTTAAAACCATCCCTAAAATACATCATACAGTCCAAGTTATTCCTCAACTTTGTATATCCTGAGTTCAATCTCTGGAAATCTTTAACCTGAGTGAATCACAGAACTTAGTCAACACCAACCTTTCCCCACTACATCTGAGAGTTCTCGCTGGCGTGTATTGTGGACCCTCTGTCGCAAGTAGTCTGGACCAATACCATGAAGGGCTTTAAAGGTCAAAACCAGCAGCTTGAATTGGGCCGAAAACTAATTGGCAGCCAGTGAAGCTGCTCCAGGAGCAGAGTAGTATGTTCTCTTACATCTTCTCTTATTAGCAGTCTGGCTGCAAACCTAGGCCAAACTGCAAACCTAGGCTTTCAGCCCCATTCAGCTCAGGTTGTAGCCCTATTCCTGGATCTATCCTAAGTGAGACCAGTAGTACTTCCATCTTATCTGGGTTGAGTTTAAATTTCTTTACTCTCACCCAGCCCATCACTAACTCCAGACACTGGTTCAATCCTATGCATGTCAACTTAGAAGCTAACCTCCTGCCTCTGCCCAAAGTACTGCACATATTTTTAGTTTATTCTTTTTATTTGAAATTCGTATACTAAGTCTTTAACAATCATTTTTGAAAACAGATGTTCATGGGAGGCCTAAATATTGTAAAGGCACCATATCTTGTCTGGTCTTGGAAGCTAAACAAAGCCAGGTCTAGTGAGTACTTGGATTTGAGAACGGTGCTGTAGAATATATTTCAGATGAAAGAACTTGCAAAATTGCTTCTGCATAACTCTTGCCTAAGAAAACCCTATGAAATTCATTAGGTTGACATAAGTTGACAGGAAACTTGAAGGTATTTTATTTATTTATTTATTTCACAGTTTTCTATACCGAGCTTCTCAACCTCATTGAGGGACTCAGCCCGTTTCCAGCCATAAAAAACATATACACTCATTAAAATATCATATATCACAATTACAAAAACAACTTTAAAAACACTATATATAAAACTACAGTGGTCAGTCATCCTATTAAGATGGATCTACGTGTATGCACACGTATGCACAGGACTAAAACTCTTCTTCATCACTGCATGTGCAATAAGTTGATTTCCTTCCTATCAGCTTTGTTTACTGTTCAACATTTATAACCATATATAGAATTAGGAATTGTGATGGCATGAACAATCCTAACTTATTTCTTGGAAGTTCGAGATCTTGTCTAGTTCCTTCATAGCCGCCCTTTCAAGTAAGAGTCTTCTGATTTCTTATACGCAGTCTCCATTTTGAGTAGTAACTGAGCCAAGGTATGGAAAATATTGAACTATTTCAATTGCTTCATCATCTATGTATTTTGGCCATATCATAAGAAGACATAAGTCACTAGAAAAGACAAGAATGGTGGTAAAGTAGAAGGTAGTAGGAAAAGAGGAAGATTGCATCTCTGACGGATAGGCAATTCCAGGTGGATTGATCAAGGAAGCGACAGCTTTGAGTCTACAAGATCTGAGAAGGGCTGTAGATGACAGGGTGACTTGGACGTTTTTGATTCATGGAGTTGCCAGAAGTGGCAATCAACTTGACACAGCAAATAACAAGAAAAAAAATCACTGAAATTGCAGAGGCAGAGTTTGAATTCATTTCTGAATGAATTGCTCAAGGATCCACCTGCACATCTTGAAGGTGCCACAAAACTTTTGATGCCCAACCTGCCTGGACATTATCTTCTATCAGACCAACTGAAATGAGGAGGGCTGTGCATGAGAACAGAACCAAACTCTGAAGTTGACTTTGTTACTAGAAGCAAACTCACTGACTCCACTTCTGAAATTAGTGGAAAGTTTCAGGCTAGGAAAGTCCTGGAAACCATTCTTCTTCCCATTATCAATTCCTTTTCAAACCAAGCTTTCTATCTCATTGGAGACACTACCACAGACCAATTGCTGCTTGCTAAAGAACTCTGTGGTGTTTAAAACTTGCTACATTAAGCCTGTAATCTGAAAGGTTATACAAGTTGAGCATTCCTTATCCAAAATGCTTCCTAACATATTTTGGATTGTTGTAGGTTTTTTCGAGCTATATGGCCATATTCTAGAGGCATTTTCTCCTGATGTTTCGCCTGCATCTATGGCAGGCATCCTCAGAGATAGTGAGGTCTCTTTTTTGGATTATTATTATTTCTGCAATGAGAAAGCTTGGAGATGGGAGCCAAGTATAAACAAGAAATTCATTTCATATATGTATCTTACAGACATAGCCTGAAGGTATTGTTATACATAGTAAGTTTCGCAGTCTTATGCATGACACAAAGTTTGTGTACAGTACACTGGAGCATCAAAAAGCAAAGGTGTCACTATCTCAAACACCCATTGGTGACCATAAATGATCCCATCTCAGCCACTAATATGGACAACTTTGGAGTGTTTTGGATTCTGGAAATCCAGATAAGGAAAACCTGACTTGTATTGAAAGCCATGCTGGAATTCCTTCCCTCCCACCCTTCCTTTCTGCTTGCCAAATAACTCTGTGGTGTTTAAAACTTGTTACATTAAGTGTGTAATCTGAAAAGTTATACAAGTTGAGCATTCCTCATCCAAAATGCATATTTTGGATTATTATTATTATTATTATTATTATTATTATTGGAATGAGAAAACTTGGAGATGGCAACCAAGTATAAACATGAAATTCATTTCATATATGCATCTTATACACACAGCCTGATGGTAATGTTATGCATAGTAAGTTTTAGGGTCTTGTGCATGTACAGTACCCTGAAGCATCAAAAAGCAAAAGTGTCACTTTTTCAAACATCCATAGGTAACCTTAGATGAGCCCATCTCAGCCTCAAATGTGGACATTTTTGGTGTGTTTTTTTGGATTCTGGAATTCCATATAAGGAAAACACAAACTGTATTGAAAGCCATGCTGGATTTCCTTCCCATTCAGTCTTCATTTCCACTTGCCAAAGTACTCTGTGGTGTTTAAAACTTGCTACATTAAGTCTGTAATCTGAAACATTATGCAAGTTGAGCATTCCTTATCCAAAATGCTTCCTAACATATTTTGGATTACTATTATTATTGGAATGAGAAATCTTGGACATGGGAGCCAAGTATAAACATGAAATTCATGTGCATCTTATAGACATAGCCTGAAGGTAATGTTATGCATAGTAAGTTTCACAGTCTTGTGCATGACACAAAGTTTGTGTACAGTACACTGGAGCATCAAGAAGCAAAGGTGTCAATATCTCAAATACCTATCGGTGACCATCTCAGACCGCTATGTGGACATTTTTGGAGTGTTTTGGACTCTGGAATTCCAGATAAGGAAAACTCAACCTGTATTGAAAGCCATGCTGGATTTCCTTCCCATCCATTCTTCATTTCTGCTTGCCAAAGAACTCTGGGGGGTTTAAAACTTGCTACATTAAGTCCGTAATCTGAAAAGTTATATGAGTTGAGCATTCCTCATCCAAAATGCTTCCAGACATCTTTGGGATTATTATTATTATTATTATTATTATTGGAATGAGAAAGCTTGGAGATGGTAGCCAAGTATAAACATGAAATTCATTTCATATATGCATCTTATGCACACAATCTTATGGTAATGATATGCATAGTAAGTTTCACAGTCTTGTGCAGGATACAAAGTTTGTGTACAGTACACTGGAGCATCAAAAAGCAAAGGTGTCAATATCTCAAATACCTATCGGTGACCATCTCAGACCCCTATGTGGACATTTTTGGAGTGTTTTGGACTCTGGAATTCCAGAGAAGGAAAACTCGACTTGTATGGAAAGCCATGCTGGATTTCCTCCCCCCCCCCCCCCACCTTTTTCAGGAACCCTTAATGAGAAGCGTTCTTTCCACTGCCCTGCAAAGCTGTGTCTATATTTATAGCGCACWTGGCCGTGGAGAGGCTCTGGAGAGAACATCGACTTCGCCCAGTCAAAGGGGAGTGCAAGGATTCCCTAAACAATCCCGGCTGTCAAAAGCAGCGAGAGGACCCCCAAGGGTGCCCTTCCCAACCCAAAGTCAACACAACCACAGAAAGGGGGGAAGGACCCGCAGCAATACTTACGCCTAAGCGCCTGCTCCTAATCTTTACATAGCCTTGCTTCACGATGTCATTGAAATTGGAAGCCATCCCAATTCTGGCTTGGAGAAAAGGAAGGAGTTGGGACCAAAGTTGAGGCGAGGCGATCCAGTTTGCAAGCGCGGCTGGCGGTGGCTTTTTTGGTGGGGCTTTTGGGGCTTTCGGCTCTCTCCGGCTCCGGCGGCCAGCCTTTGGAATAAATCCTCCCCAAATCTTGCTGACCCAGAAAATCGCCGGAGGGAGTTGTTGCCTTGCGCCTGGGAAGTGGGTGGTAGAAGCGTTTGTGTTTTGTGGTGTGTGGATTTGGAAAAAAAAATCCACTCGGGAAATGAGGGGAGCGTGAATGAGGCGGAAGAAAGCTCTCCTCTTGGATCAGCTGACGGGGAATCGAGGAGGGGAGAGGGGGAAAGGCAGCTCGCAGCTGACTGGCTTGCGCAATGAGATCAGAGCATCGGCTCACATTCTCCCCACTCCCACCGGCAACAGCCGCCTTCCCGGTCCCTCTGACTTTCCTTCTCTTCCCTTCCCTTGGCGAAGAGGCCCGCCTTCCCTTCCTTGGCCACGGAAGCTCAGCAGAAGGAAAAGGAGGAGGGGAAAAGGGCAGTGGTACCTACCTGGCACATTCACAGCATACTATCATCACAGAATGGTGTCTTTAGTGGTCCCCCTCCCCATTTGGTCCGGAGACTGAATCCTGTTGGACTTCCGATTCTGGGGAACAGGATTCCAGGTTCTACCTGGCCTTGGAAACCCACTGGGAGCATCTACACAGAACATTTAACGCGGCCTGAAAGCGGCAGAGGAGGAAGCGATTTGAAGTGAAGCTGATCACATGTCAAGCTAGGTGACAGGCTTGGGAGGGTGCAGAATTGCTTTTACCCATCTGAGAGATTGATGCTGCCACCATAGAATCATAGAGTTGGAAGAGACCTCATGGGCCATCCAGCCCCACCCCCTGCCAAGAAGAAGGAAAATTGCATTCAAAGCACCCCTGACAGATGGCCATCCAGCCTCTGTTTAAAAGCTTCCAAAGAAGGAGCCTCCACCACACTCCAGGGCAGAGAATTCCACTGCTGAAAGGCTCTCATAGTCATGAAGTTCTTCCTAATGTTTAGATGGAATCTCCTTTCCTGTAATTTGAAGCCATTGTTCCACGTCCTAGTTGTTCCACGTCCTAGTCTCCAGGGCAGCAGAAAACAAGCTTGCTCCCTCCTCCCCATGACTTCCTCTCACATATTTATACATGGCTATCATGTCTCCTCTCAGCCTTCTATTCTGCAGGCTAAACATACCCAACTCTTTAAGCTGCTACTCATAGGCCTTGTTCTCCAGACACTTACGCATTTTAGTCACCCTCCTCTGGACAAATTCCAGCTTGTCAACATCTCCCTTCAATTGTGGTGCCCAGAATTGGACACAGTATTCCAAGTGAGGTCTGACCAAGGGTGAATAGAGGGGTAGCATGACTTCCCTGGATCTAGAGACTATGCTCCTATTGATGCAGGCCAAAATCCCATTCGCTTTTCTTGCCGCCATATCACATTGTTGGCTCATGTTTAACTTGTTCCCCATGAGGACTCCAAGATCTTTTTCACACGTACTGCTCTCAAGCCAGGCATCATCCCCCATTTCATTTTTTCTAAGTGGAGTATCTTGGATTTGTCCCTGTTGGACTTCATTTTGTTAATATGTTGAGATAGTTTTGAATTCTGCTCCTGTCTTCTAGGATATTAGCTATCCCTTCCAATTTTGTGTCATCTGCACACTTGATGATTATGCCTTCTAATCCTTCATCTAAGTCATTAATGAAGATGTTGGACAGGACTCAGCCCAGGACGGAACCCTCCGGCACGCTACTTGTCACTTCTTTCCAAGATGAAGAGGAAACTTCCGTGTTGTTGTTTGATTTAAGCAAACACACCACCACAATGCACCTAAGTGTATCACCCATCCCTTAATTGATTCCACCATGCAATGTAGTTTTCACCTATATGCACTAATGCACATTACAGGCCCTATTTTGCAGTATTTTCCCCAATTTTGCTTATCTCAGTTTGCAACCTGTTCAAATCATGCATCATTTAAACCAGTGGTTCCCAACCTGTGGTCCATGGACCACCAGTGGTCTGCAAGAATGAAAACAGGTTGGGAACCACTGGTTTAAATGATGCCTTGAAACCATGCAGCATCGAGAGCGACTGGTCCCCCAAAACCCTCTTAAAGTGCTGAGGGAACTGGGATGTCAGGAGGGGAAAAGCTAACTACCCACAAAAGATTATGACTACCACATCAACTCTAGTTTATTAAATATGTGTCTTTGTGGGCAAGTAGATGACTATTGAATGGCATATATTCAGTATCAGAAACTAGAGCTGATGTGGTCTATCAAAACAATTTTCTGAATCAGCACTCCAAATAACCAAATTGAATCTAAAGTTGACCAAAAACTTATTTGCAACCCTTTTGGTACTAATGTTGGAGAGTGGTCTTTGGTCAAAGTGATCTCTGGTCAAGTGGTCCCTGGTCAAAGTGGTCCCTGGTCAAGTAGTTCCTGGTCAAAAATAGGTTGGAAACCACTGATTTAAACACTGCTTTTTTGAGCTCTTGCTTTTTGAGTCCCTATTAAGTGGTCAGCGTAGATTTTTCCACTGTCTCAGCTTCAGAAGAAAGCAGTTGCAAAGATCTCTCTGAACAAATATTGCCAAGAAACCCCCATTGATTTAACACAAAACAACAAAAACTACATCAGTTTCACTAGAGCAGTGGTTCTCAAATTGTGCTCCTCCGGATGTTTTGGACTTCTGTTCCCACAATTCCTAACAGCTGGTAAGCTGGCTGGGATTTCTGGAAGATGAAGTCCAAAGCACCTGGAGGAGCACAATTTGAGAAACACTGCACTAGAGGATACACTGCACACCCCTAATCCAGCTCAAGAGCAGATGGAGGCTATACTTCATGCCTCTTGCAATGCCCTCGAAGCTAGATGGTGGCTGAATAGCCAAGCGGTGCCAGAACTGTTTCGGCACCACTCACCTGTGACCCTTACCACAAAAATGGAGTTGGACAGTCGTTGGTGACTGGAATGATGATATCCAGAGTGCTGAGGGGAGAGAGGAGGTGAGGAGGAATAGCCCCGTTCTTTTCCTCTTCCCTTCTCTGATCACTTCTGTGTTCTTCATGTCATCATGCCAGGTGCTGAGCAGTATCCAGCTTAATTTTTGTACCTAGTGGGCACCTCAAGCAGTTGATTGCGGGGGCTACGTAGGTGCTAAATTCCCTGTCCCCACCCACGAATACTAGCATATCTTGATCTCAATTCATCTTTTCCTCTGATAGTCTGTCCATTTTGAGTGACATCACTCCTTTCCAATCTCCCATCTTTATCACATTTTCACAGCAGAATTCACTGATTTCTAATAAAAGAGTTTGGTAAAATTCAGGCTCTGCTCCTGTAGGGACATAGATGCCAACTATCAGAGTTTTTAGCACCAGAAGCTATATTTCCACTCGTTCATATTGTTCAGAATATATTTTAGCCATATAGTTCTTATTCACATAGATGACAATTCCTCTTCTTTTCTTATTTATCAAGACTGAGAAACATGACTCCAATATCTTTACTGTAATCTACTGTTTGATATCAGCAAATTTTGATATCTGTACTACAATCCACTTCTTTTCTTGTTTTTGTAAATCCTATTTGATTTCTACATTGGCAATATGGTGATATCCACGTGTATAGTCATCTCTTTGGTTCTGAGTTAGGTAACAATGTTTAACTGCTGAAAGTATTTAAATTGGAGGACCTTCTGTCTACAAAAGTCTCCTGTACCACTGAGTTATGGTCCCTTTCTCAGAAGAGAAGGGTCTTTTGTATATTAATCTAGTAATAATTTAGTACTCTATTATGTTAAACCTATGTAGTAAAAATTTAAATGGGAAAAATGTTGATAAGTATTTTCTACAATATGTTTAGTGGGTTATAGCATCAATATTTTAGCAGATCTAACTAGGAGAAAACAAAGGGTCACTTGAAAATATCTGGTGCTATGTTAGTAATAAGTTAAATTATAATCATGTTACAAGCATGTAGAAAACCCATTTCAGTATGTAACACAACTTTTTTGTGCTGAGATTGAGTGTTTGTCCTGAAGGTTTGCACTAAAGATTTAATCTAAAATGATCAGATTATTTCTAAAAGTTCTCCATGCACATTTGTGACTACTTACTTTTTAAAAAAGTGAAATATAAGTAGTTATAAATACATGTCTTTTCACAATATTTTGGGATTTAGCTGCAGGGGGACAACGTTAAGATATTCTTCTCCCTCATTTTCTTCAGTTTCCATATTTTTTAGCATTGCAGTAATTTAAAATTGCAGTTAAGCATTTAGAAATATAGTTTAGTGTGACCTTTCCAAATATCGTTGTATAGGTTTAAGTATCCCCTATCCAAAATGTTTGGAACCAGAAATGTTTTGGATTATGGACTATTGACATGCACAATATTTATTTTATTTACCCAGTTAAACCCTGTCTTTCTCTATCCCAAGAGGGACTCAAGGCAGCTTACATATGGCAATTATTCAAGTGGTCCCTGGTCAAAGTGGTCCCTGATCAAGTAGTTCCTGGTCAAAAAAAGGTTGAAAACCACTGATTTAAACACTGCTTTTTTGAGCTTTTTAAGTCCCTATTAAGTGGTCAGTGTAGATGTTTCCACTGTCTCAGCTTCAGTGGAAACATCTAAACACATACAAATATGAAGCTTAAAATCAATTGAAATCAAATGGATTGAAATCATACAAATATGAAGCTTAAAGTCGATTCATGTTCTAAACATGAAATACGTGTGTATTTCCACATACACCTTATATGCCTAGCCTGACATTAATTTTATTCCCATTCTTAAACCGTAATTTTGTGTAAGAAACAAAGTTTGTATGCATTGAAGCACCAGAAAGCAAAGCTTTCACAGCCTCAGTCTTCTGTGTCTGTAAAAACAAGATCTCTGAATTAGAACAAATCATTTTCGTCCTGAGTATCTTTGTTTCCAATGGTGGCTGATGGCTTCCATGCCAGTAAAAAATGTGCATCCACTCTGAGTTCCAGTTTGGATTCTAAAAGAAAGTGTTCATTTCCACCGTCAAGTGAAATTCGGCTTCTTGGCTCATTCTTTTAAAGCTCAACCTAATTTTCTTAAAGCTTAGCTCAGCTCCTTCTAAATTTTGGTTGGAATAGAGGCTGTGGGACTGGTTGTTGTTCAGCTTCTGCCTTACTAATTGATTACTCAGCTTGGAAGAACTTCTACAGTACCTCTCACAATTCCCAGTACTTTCAGTGCCCAAAGGTAATCTTAGAAGCTTCTATAAATTCTCTGAGCAGAACCAGACCTATTGAAACAGAACCAATGACATGTTTTTCCCCATCTTAACAATTTCCCCATTATGCATTTCTAGCAAACCGATTCTTTTCATCTGTACAGAATGAAAGCATGCT